GTTCGCGTCTCCGCTCCTCCACATGCAGCTGCTGGGTGACCTTGGGCCAGTCACACTTCTCTGAAGTCTCTCAGCCCCACTCACCTCACAGAGTGTTTGTTGTGGGGGAGGAAGGGAAAGGAGAACGTTAGCCGCTTTGAGACTCCTTAGGGTAGTGATAAAGCGGGATATCAAATCCAAACTCTTCTTCTTCTTCAAACTCTTCTTCTGGGAGCCCATGTGAGAAACCAGGTCCTCTGAGGATCAGTCAGCAGAACTAGCTATATTTAGCCTGGAGAAAAGAAGATAAAGGGCTCTTTGTTGCCCCAGAGGAGCAGAACTAAAACCAATGGGTAGAAATCACAAGGGGAAAGCTTTGGGGTTGAATTTTAGGAGAAACTTCCTAACTTCCCAAGAAATGCCTGACAGGGAAACAGAGTGCTTTGGGAGGTGGTGGGCTTTCCTTTGCTGTAGGTACTTAAGCAGAAACTGGATGGCCATCTGCCAGGAATGCTGCAGTTGCAAGATTCATTCACTGAGAGCAGGTGAATGGACCAGATGACCTCCAGTGTCCCTTCCAACTCTAAAATGGTGTGAATCTAGGACTTTGACTTGCCTGCACTCGTCTGCAGCATAAGTGAGCAAGCAGGCCAAGGGCTGCCTGGAATTTTTCTTACAAGCAGGTGCGGTGAATGAGTAAACAGGTTTTGCTCTTCCTCATGCTCACTTTCTCTCTCTCTCTCCTCCCCCCATCTTACTATACCTCTCTTCTCTCGTTCCTCCTTACTCATCACCATGAAGACACTTGAGTTATTGCATGCCAGGGCTGTGGCAAGCCAAGCAGCCTCCAGAACTTTGCTAGAAACCAAATAAAATTTTATCACGGGAGGCTCAGAAGAGAGGCTTTGTTTTGTACTCAGGATCTAGCTGGTTCTCATTTTTGTGGGTAGGAATAAAATTTCTCACAGATCAGATAGGTTAGTGTGTGGTTTGTTCCATTTCTTTGCATCACGAGGCCTATTATTAATTTTGAATCAGGAAGGTACTTCTAATATGAGGCATAATTGTTTACTCTTTCTCTGTGCTAGGAAAGTGCATGCGGCTTTTGAGAAATGTAAGTGCACAAACTGAGTCATTTCAGATTCAGATGCAAGCTTGTTTTTGAAGGCAGGTATAGAGCTTGTTAACCAGCAACTGCCCTATACTTATTTATTACATTTCTGAGTCACATTTTCCAAATCTTTTCCAAGAGTGCTCAAGGCAACCTGGGCATCTTAGGATGGAAAGGAATAAATGCAATGAAGCTAACTACCTTATTTCTTCCATACGTTCATTTTAAAAATTAGGAAAAGCAAGATAGTACAGCTGCTTGGGTCTGCCTTTCTTCCTGACTGGTTACATTAACTGTTGCAAGAGGTTCAGGAAGGGGAGGAAACAATTCAAGCTTCTTCTTAAAGAAGTTATTGAAACGTCCTTTGAAAAATGGGATCATCCAGTTTTGGGACAACAGTGGCACCTGTCCTGTTAGCACTTCAAATGGGATGCCTTTTTCCCATATTTGAGCTCCTCCTCCTCAAAATTCTGCAGGTAGAGGGTGGGTCCAGTGGAGAGCGAGAGCAAGAGTTCATTGGTAGGTGTCACCCGCCTCCCTTCCCCTCGCTCCCTGTCACTGTCCACATCACTACTGTATTATCCTCCCCAACCCCAGGAGCAGCCCCTCCATTCCTTGACACTATCGGGCGTGAGAAGGAGGCAGTCAGCCCAAAATGGTGGCTAAGTCACTGTTGGTGTGACTGACTAGGAGCCCAGTCCAGTGTGAGTGACAATAGAGAGAAAGGGGAAGAAGCAACTCCCTCCTTCCCTCGCCATCTCCTTCCTTCTCTCTTCTTGCTGGTGCTCCTCCTCAGTCGTTGCTGGTCTAGCATGGTGCGGGTCCACCACTGCTTGACCCCCTCCGCCACCCTGACCTGACCTCTCCTCCCTCCTCCTCCACGCTTGAGTCTCTTCTGCCGCCAGCATGGGCAACCTGGCCCATCTATGTGAGTCAAGGGAAAGAGTAGGGCTGGGGTGGCGAGGGAGGCTGAATGTGGGGAACCCCCCTCCACAAACGGGGCGTGAAGATTTGGTGTCATGGGAGTGTGTGTGCCCTCCAATCTCCACCCCTTCTGACCTGTCCTGTATTTTGCCCGACCAAAGGTGGCAACCCTAATTCACTACTCTTCTCTTGACCTGGTTGAGAACCCCAGTTTAGGCATCTTTCATAAATTAAGTTTCTTAGTTTGGAGTCCTACACACAACTATTCTGTAGTAAGTCCCACTGAATTCTGTGAGATCATCTTTAGCATTGGGGTGCATTGAGTTTTTTGGGAGGGAGATTCAACTGCATTTTTGTTTTACTTGAGGGGAATAGGTGGAAGGTATAGATAGACCTGTAAAAATAATAAAATGATTATTTCTCCCTTGGTCATCCAAGTAGCCATTTTTCTTTTTCTTTCCAAAAGATGGGAGACATGTCTGCCTGTACATGTCTGCTACTGAATCCCACTTAAAGCAACATTTGGCTGTGGATCTGTGGTCTCAGCCTGCAGCAGAAGCAGACTGAAACCTGAACTAGCCACTCAAACCAAAGCCAAAGGGTTCTTTGGCAACCTCAGAAGGTTACCATGGTGTAGGCCAAATCAGATATGCACAGAAGCCACATATACTGGAATGATGTTGCACTGGCACAGGAGGCTGTGGGCAGCCTACAGCAATGAGAAGAGTCCAGAGCTCCTGCAACACAGTGGGATCTGGCAATTTCTGGATATGTTGCTGGTGAAACTCTGACATTTGGTGGGCTTACAGGTGCCCTTTGGATTAATCAAGCCTTTGTGCAGCAGGGGTATGGAGCCATGTGGTTCCTCCCACCTCCTACTGATTTGTGGCAGAGTATCAACCATTGCTTTGTGTAAGTTGTGTACGGACAAGACATATTTTCTTCTCCACAGGAAGAGGATTGTCTCCAGGGTGCTTCAATATGTCTCCAGTGGGCCTGTGCTTCTCTTCTTCTAGAGGGGAATAATGAAAACCATATTAACATTGGAATGGGAAGCGTATTCCTCAGTCACTGGGACTTTCAGAGGATGAATGCACTTTTCAAAATGTGGAATGAGCAGTGATGTTCATTATTTCAGCTTCTGGTGATTGAATCAACCTACACATCTAAAAGGAACACAGGCTAGCAGAGCAATCATGTGCTACACCTTTCACTGTCTTTTGCTAAAGGGAAAAACAATTTTAGGATGTAAAAAGGAAGTGCGCTGGGGGAGTGGATATGCACACTGGGAGAATGTCTGGAATAGTATTTTCTTCTGGGGATGTGTAGCTCACTAAGAAAACATGACACTTGGTGATAATGCTCATTTCCTGTTAGGTATGAAATATACCCAGTGAGTATATCACATTCTCTACTTCCATGTACTGGCGGAAAGGCAGTATATAAATGTGGTAAATAAATACCCATGTATATATTTAAGAGAAGTGGCCCAAATGCTCTGGGAAACTGAGAAGCATGCTGTTCATATGAGATGCTAGCTTGATGACACACTTTTTATTTCATGTGTGATTTTATGAGGGTTAATTAAGGAATGCATGTAAGTGGCACATTCCTCCCGCAGTAGGTGACAGACTGAAGGGGTTCTACAAGATTATATTTTGGGCATGGGGCAAGTCTCTCACTTACACCTACTTGGTGTAAAGAGACATTTCCTATGTCCAAAGTATCATTATCTTGTGTTAACAAACCTATAATAATTACTGCAGCCTGGTACCATCTTCAAAATCGCTAGTCATGGTTAGAATCCACTCTTCACCTATACAGGCATAGTCTGAGTAGGCACATGTGATCTCCTTGCTTGGGGCAATCCTATTTTGGGGGCCCAAAATAGCTCCCTGGACATGACAAGGTTGTTTGACTTGTTTGTCCAGAATAGGGATTGTAATTTTGAACGCCACCACACAACCTTCATTTGAAGCAGCTTGCAGTAGTGTGCAGGTTTTGCTCAGGATGATGTCCACAGGTTTTGCAGGCAGAAAGAAGAAAATACTCAGCACAGTGTTAAGCACAGTGGTCATACAAACTGAAGTCGGGAAAGGTGGAGATTTACAACCCTTTAACCACTTCGGGAGTGCAACAAGATGCTTCAGTGGTAATTATTCCATATGTCTGGCACACAATCCTGGGAGGGTTTATTCAGAAGCGAGTTCCGCGGTATTCAGTAAGAGTTTGCTCCCAAAGTGTGTTCAGGATTGCAGCCCAAGTAACCTTGAGTGTGCGGCTTCCTGAGAGTGACACACGGAAGGGCAAATGTTGACACATTCTTCTTGCACTTGATAAGTGGCTGAAGAGACATAGGCTGCCCCTGTGGGTGGCTAATAGACCCCCCTACACCTGAGCATCGCTACCTCTCTCCCACTTCTTTGTGGGCGACTGTCTGAGGGGAGGAAGCAAGAGGCCTGCAGGCGGACCCAAGTTTCACATCGCACACCCTCCCCGTAGCCTGTGTTCGCTTTCCCTCTCCGAAGGGGAGCTGGGAGAGGGAGGCACTTAAATGTACACGGGCCATTTCCTACTGCAGTGTGGGTGACGTTATTCTCTTTATTGGACCCCCCCGCCGCCGCCTCGCTGTTCAGGGGGCGACTTTATTCCCCCAGAAAAACAACCAGGAGGTGAAACACTGTGCGGTTGACAAGGGCGAAGCAGACACGGGGCCACCCCGACAGGCGGGCGACACACATTTCGCACTCCACGCGAGTGGGCGAGCGGCAACTCGGGCGGCGCGTCATGCTTCTCGCGCGCCCACCGCCCCCCACCCCCGCGTGACTAATCCACTTATATGCGTGTGTGTGTACACGCACACGTCTGAAAGGGGGGCCGCGCTCGACGCGAGCGGCTACGACCGGGGCGGGGTCACACGCTGGCCTTGTGGGTGGCCAGGCGCCGCCCAGCGACGGCGACACGCTTCCCTCGCTCGCTGGCTTCTTCCACCGCCAAGCCTTGGGAGGGAGCGGCGTCCCCGCAGCCTTGCCCTCGTCGCCGAGGGAGCCGTTCCTCCTCCCGGGACGGAGCGGGGTGTGCGTGCGCTGTGTGCACCGAGGGGCTCAGTGGGTGGTGGGTGCTTGGAGGGAGTGTGTGCGTGTTTTGGTTGTGGGGTGTGGGGGGGGGGGAGAGAAGCTGCACGTTCCCCTTCCCTCGCCCCAGCGGAGCCCAAGGCCGGGCTGCCCGGATTGGCCGCGGAGGGCCGCCAGCTCCGCCCGCTGTAGCCGTGCTCGCCTTGGCTGGGAGGAGGAGGAGCAGCGGCGGCGGCGGCGGCGGCGGGGGGAAGAGGAGCCGAGGAGCCGAGGCTGCGCTCCGTGCGCTGCCTAGTCTGGAGCGGGGGAGCCTGGCAGCGGCAGGAGCGGCGGCGGCTCAGGAGCAGCGGCGGCGGCAGCAGCAGGAGCAGCCCGGATCCTGCTGGTCTTGAGGAGGAGCCAGCCCTGCGAACCCTCCGCTTCTTGCGCGCGAGGCAGAAGAGGGGGCCGCCACCCCCGCCGGCGCCCCAACCGATCCATGACCATGGGCGACAAGAAGAGCCCGACCAGGTAGGAGAAAGCGGGGCCAGCGAAAGGGGGGGGGGAGTCGGCAGAGGAGCCGAGAGGAGGTCGGGGGGGGGGAGAGGCTCCCTTCCCTAAGATGGAGACGAGGGTGGCGGTGGGGACAGGAAGGAGCGCGCCGCGCGGGTGCCAGCCGAAAGCACCCACCACCACCCACCCCGCTTTCTTAGACTCAGGGGAGGCGCGCGGGGAGGGGGGGTGGGGACGGCTAGGCCCCGGGGTGGCGGAGGAGGTGGTGGTTGTAGTAGTGGTGGGAGTCGTGGTGGAGGGAGGGGGCTTTTTAAGATGGAGGAAGTAGGTAAAGAAGGGGAGAGAGAGAGAGAGCTTGTTTGCCTTGCCTGCCTCTCAGCCAGGTACAGAAAACTCCTTGTTTTTCCAATTGTGCTGGGAGGCGAAGCTATAGGAGCAGGAAAGCCAGAGAAAGCTCCTTGTGTGGCTAACTGCTGAAAGGAAGGGGGGGGGACGGGAGGTTTGTGTGTGTGTGTTTTTGTGTGTGTGTTTGGAGGGGCTTGCTCTGTTTTGTGCCCAGGGTGGCTCTTAAGATGGAGGGAGTGTGTAGAAGCAAAGAGGAGGAGGAGGAGGAGGGCGAAGTGTTTGTGTTTCTCTCTCTGTTGGTGCCAGGGCTAATCTGGTGTTAGAGCAGCTATGGCGGCTGCTTCTCTCTCTCTCTCTCTCTCTCTCTCTCTCTCTCTCTCTCTCTCTCACACACACACACACACACACACACACACACAGCTCCTCGTCTCCTCACACTGACTTCTTCCAGACAAAGGGAGATTTAACAAGGTAAAGGAGACAGACAGACAGACGAAGGGGGCGCATGGAGGGACACGCCTACAATCCTTTAAAGTACAATCAAGCACACACACACCCCTCACTCACACACCCCAAGAGGGAGGGTAACAGGCTCGGATACCTTCCACCATCGCCTTTTCCCTGCCCTTCCAGATTCAGTGGGTAGTCGTTGTTGTGTGAAAATTGATTGCCTTGAGATTGAAGGTTGGAGGGGGAAATGTTCCCCTTTCCTCTCTTGCTACTACGGGGGTATGGCATGGTATGGTGTTAGGGGAAGGTTGCAGGGTAAGGCATGAGAAACGTGTGTGGTGAGAAGAGAGAACAAAGTCGGATTTTTGGCTTGATGGGTGCTTTGTACGGTTTCCTCACTGCTCCATCGAAAATTTGATTACTTTTTAGGCAAGGAGCAAAATAAATAAATAAATAAAAGGCAGGCAGAGCAAAGCAGAGCATAGTATGAAACAGCTTTGCTTTATGATCTCGTTTCTAACATGTTTTATTCTTTCTTTTCCTCCTCCTTCTCTCCCCCCCTCCCCTTTCTTCCTACACATACTTCTCAAGGCCAAAAAGGCAAGCAAAACCTACAGCCGACGAAGGTTTTTGGGATTGTAGTGTCTGCACCTTTAGGAACAGTGCTGAAGCCTTTAAATGCAGCATATGTGATGTCAGGAAAGGCACCTCTACAAGGTACATTGTTCATATTCTAATGTGCTAGTCGTCCCTTTTCCTCCTGTAACTAACTGTAATGCTGCTGACTTGTTGATTTACCATGGTGGTGGGAACGAGAAATGACTCCCTTTGAAAGAATGTTTAAACCTGTGTTTTGTGTTACAAGTGTTCATGTACACATTAAAAACAAGTGTTTGCAGGTACTGTATACTGTATAATAATTATTTGATGCTATTTGCTGTATGTTGATAAAGAGGCACAACAGAAGCGCAACTTCAAAGTCCTGCTTTGTTCTAATAATAATGACTTATTTTATGTAAAATAAAGGAACTTTGGAAAACCAGTTTCCTGAAGAATACTATGGGTTATGCATACTTGCAGAGATGTTCAAGTTATGTGTAGGAGTGCTGCCATATGACATCTAACACATGGATTTATGTCACAGAAACATAGCAATAATGCAGATTTATGAGATCCTGAGATAGCTTTATGAGATAGTATGTATTAGTGATGGATTCCCGCCCCCCCCCCCAAATGTTGAAAGTGTTAAGTATGAGTTAGGTAATTCTTTCAAAGTTTTAGGCTGACAAGTTGTCTTAACTGAATTGGGTGTTCTATTTTGTATGCTCTCCTTAGTACTTTTGGAAAGTTAATCAGCTTTGTCATATGTTGCATGCTTTTTATGTTAGAAAAATCACAGAATTTTACCATGAATAGACTTTCTAATGTGAAGACTCTGCAGAATGGCAGACAGCAGGTTGTGTTGTTGATTGGGAGCAGTTGGTAATGTATTCGTTAAGTATTTTGAGCATGGCAGAGTGAAAGCTGAAAATGCATGCTTCCAGTGAGAAAAACTTTCTGGATCATTGAGGCTTCTTGTTACATGAGCAAGTTAAGTAAGTGTCAAATGTCCACTCGTGTACATAGCGTGCATGTCTTTTGAGTATTTCTACACTTTGTACTGTTTTGGAGGACACTGATTTTAAGTCTTAATATATATTACGGTCTAGAACATGTGTGTGTGTGTGTGTGTGTGTGTGTGTGTGTGTGTGTAGACTTCAGTCACGTTCATTTAGGCTTTAGTATTATCAGTGAATCCACCTGTGGCTCTTGCATACAAACCTGTTGATTTCTTTTGGGGTTGTATTGTTCTATACCTACTTGCAGCATCAGCATATTGTAGATTGTGTTTAATAAGGATGGGCAACTGGAAGTTTGTGGGCTAGATGTACTTCCTGTGTCAAATTTAATTTAAGGTGTAGTAAAAAGTTTCCCACCAGTTTCATTCTTAACAGACTAGAACAATGTTTTTAAGTTGCATGAAGTAAGCTTTGAACTTCAATATTTGATCTCTTTCTGATTTGTGTATATATAACATTTTTGTTGTATATAATGCTTGAGATCTGTAATTGGGAAGGCCTGACTGTTAAGAGTAGACTTTATTGGGGAGCTGTTGCAGTGCTCATGAGGGACTCGGTTTTGTGAGGCAAAATTTAGTCCAAGCCTTCATTGTACAGTTTGCAGAGCAGTCCTTACAATGGATACAGACGTTGTGCATCCTCTTTGTGTAGCGTAATTTGATTAGTATCCTTATTTGTTAAAAAGCATATTTGTGTCTCTTAAGGAAAAACAACCTGTCCTGTAACATGGGTTCTTGGGGAGGGGAAGAGACAATAATCTTAATATGGAAACCTTATCCCATTTAATTACATATTAAGTTAAATTATTCAATTAATAAGGAAAAATTTCAACTTAGGCATAGTTGTCAAGTGAGCATTAGAATTAGAAAAATGTTTCGTTACTTTCTCATTATGTGTTCCCTGCAACAGAAAGCTTATGCTGACCTCTTGTTAGGTTTCTAGCTATATTTCTGCCTCTATGAGTACGGTTTCACCAAAGTCAGTATGATTGCATTCACTTAAGATATGAATGGGAAACTTGTTGCTCTTCAGTATGTTGGAGTTGGACCATCAAGGCCAGCCAGGGAGACGGGAGTTTAAATTCAACAACATATGGAGGGCTACTAGTTCCCCACCCCATATTTAAAGTACGCTTTCAGTATGTCACTATATGCTTTTAAAGTAAGTGCTTATCAATGATATTTCATAATAAATATACAATAAAAATGCATATTTAAGTATTATTTATAAACCAACTCAATATTGGACATAAATTTGTAAATAACTCAAATGATAGTAACTGAACACTATCTAAACTCTGCAGTGAGTTTGGGTTGTGGCTTGGGAGTTACTGTATATGACGCATGCTGGTGTTTCAGGAAACCTGCATTTTTTTTCAATGACACTTAATGTACAACAATGCTATGGTTTATGGTTTGCTATTACTCAGAATATTTGTATCTCATGATACGATCTGTGTGCATGCTTGTATTGTAGAAAATCTCAGTTGCGAATATCTACTAGGATTGCTTAAGGACCAGTAAGTCAGTCCTCCAGAGTATCAGCAGCAAGATACCTGTTTTTGAGTGATACTTCTAGGGATAGAGACATGAGCTGGAATGTCCAACAACGGAAATCATTTATTATTTATCTAAATACTTGAATAGGGAAGGTAAGCTATCTGAAAAAAAGATGATTTGCACCACCTTCTATATTCCCCCGTCTTACCTGCTCAGTCCAGGGCATCTAAATATTCTAAGAGTATTGAAGGATTTAAGCACTCATTCTGCATTATGTTCTAAGCTAACCATATGAAATGTTAGGATACGATGGTAGCAGTAGTTTTGGTGGCTAGGTTTATTTTTGATCTGGGGTTCAGAATATGTCTTTTGTGCACCAGCTAATAGATTTTGGGTTCAGTTATAAAGGTTAATGTGGATTGTGAGCTGATTAATCTTTGAGATATTGTGTTTTGGGGAAGGAGGTAGGTGGTCATGACCAAGAGTGAAAGTCTCACTTGGTTTTCTCACTCAAGAAACAATTCTGCTGTTTCTGAGTTATTTTCACATGAAATAGTGAATGATGTGGCAGAGGAATAAAATTTACTTGAAGCTGCACCTGGAAATAGTTTACTGAATGCACTTTAAATTTCAGAAGCATGGCTTGGTATGTGAAAAGGATCTTGGGATTGTAGTCAAGCACAACCTGAACATGAGTCAGCAGTGTGGTGCAGCTGCAATAAAAGCTAATGCAATTTTAGTCTGCATTAATAGACTCAGTTTTCAAGTCATGGGAAGAAATAGTTCAATTTTGTTTATTAATGACACTTATATGCTATCCCATAACATAAAGGTATCTGGGCTGTTTTACAATAATTAAGAATAAAAACAAATTATATACAAAAACCCCATAAAATAAAAAGTAATGTTATTTTGCACAAGTCAGATCTCATATGGCGTGCTGCCCAGTTCTGCACACTGTCTAGGCAAATAGGAATGAGTAAAGAGGAAATCAAGATGGTCAGTGGTATGGAAAGTAAGTCCAATGAGGCAATATCAAAGGAACTGAAGGGTGATATAAAGAACTTTTCAAATACCTAATGGTCTGTCCCACAGAACAGGGCAAAAACTTTTTCTCTACTGTTCCAGAGGGCAGGACTGTATCTTAACAGGCTCAAGTTGCAGGGGGGTAGATTTTGGTTCAACATTGGGAGAAACATTGGGTAAGAGCATTTCGAACAATAGAACCAGTTACAGTGGTGTGGTAGGCTCTGAATAGCTGAGTCAAGGAGCAAATTCTTAAAAAACTAAAACAAGCAACCTTAAAGGTGTGACTTGTGTAAACTCAACAACTCAGTTTTAACAACAGTTCACATCATTCAAGGAAAAGTAGGCTCTCTATGGAGTTACCCCAGTATTTTTTATTGTTTTTCATGTATTTTGCTTTGCCTTTTCATATATCGTTTTCTATACAGCTACATACAGTTCAGAAAAGTTATACTCCAGTTCTGTACCACAGATTTGGAAAGAAGCTCCACTGATCTCAGCGGAACTTATTTCTGAGTAAACGCATACACAGGAGTGCTTTTAGTGACTAAACTTTTTCTTCTATCTTTTCAGCATTCAGTTCTTGTTTTCTTTAAACTCCTTTATTGGCCACATTCCTATTGTTAACGAGAACTGCAAATTGTTTTCTGTGATTAGTTTTAATAGCGTCGGCTTGCTTTTTGTGCAGTGTGCATGTTCTTGCTTTTTGTGTGATGTGTGTGTTCTTGCTGTCATATTGTCTTTTTCCTTGCAATCTTATCTTTTGAGCTATCTTGTTTGTAAATTCAGCTCGGTGGTTCTCTGTTGACACCATCAGTGTAAAACTGAATAGGATTCTTGTGTTCATAATTAGTTTCGTATTGCTATAACTATACGTACTGGGGAAAGTGGCACTTTAAAGTTGTTTTTAACTCTGTAGTCCAAACCAGATGCAACATCAGTGGACATGTTTATTTAAATCAGGGGTGGGCAAAGTTTACCTCGCCTGGGCTGGTTCACTACTCCTGATTTAAATCCAGGTCTGCCCCAGCCATATAAAAAAACAAGGGGCAAGAGCCGAAATACCTTGAAAAATTGTCTGTTTGAGAGAGAGACAGCATGTGTGTTTATCCATCTGCTGTCTGCAGCTTGCCTTTCCATACTCTTCTCTTTCTCACCACACTTCCCCCCCCATACCAAAACTGAACTTCAATTCCAAGTGTGAATTCAGGTCAGACAAAAGTGCTTGGGAGAAGAGAGGTGGCTGTGAATAGGTGAACAGTGTACTTTAGAAAGGGTCACCTCCACTCATCTGTGTCATAGTTTTGCTCTAGAAGTCGGATTTCCCACCCCCTTGCATTGCCCATGATTGAGGCAGATAATTTAACTAAAGGAGGAGTAAGGGACCTCTAGTCTGCTGGCAAATTGCCTTCTAGGTCTAACTGTTTGTTCCTTAGGATTCTCCCCAGGAAGTGCCCCTCATCATTCTGCACTCGCCTGAAGTGCTTTTGCCTAGCCTGCAAAACTGGGCGGAGTGACAGATGTGATTCTTACCTTTTGCATTCCAGCCATGCAGAAGCTACAAGTTTCTATACATCCCCCTCCATTTTTCCATCTTTCTTAAAGAAAAGCAAAGAGACAGGATAAAAATCCGAGGGCACATTCCAGTTTGTAACAAATGAGACCTATTTCCCATTCCCATTGACCTGGAATGGTTAGGCATTAATTTCCATTGAGTGAATTAAGATTTTTTTGGAAGCTGATTGAATATGCTGAGGGACCTGTCCTTAAAATGGTTGTGACCAACTTCCTGGGTAAGCACAATGTAAGTAAAAGTAAAGTACAGTGCTACTTTAACAATCCTTTCCTTTCTATATAATAGTGCAGTGGTACCTCGGGTTAAGTACTTAATTCGTTCCGGATGTCCCGTTCTTAACCTGAAACTGTTCTTAACCTAAAGCACCATTTTAGCTAATGGGGCCTTCTGCTGCCGCCACACCGCCGGAGCACGATTTCTGTTCTCATCCTGAAGCAAAGTTCTTAACCCGAGGTACTATTTCTGGGTTAGCGGAATCTGTAACCTGAAGCATATGTAACCCGAGGTACCACTGTATAATTGATTGCGGAACAGTTTGCTGATACAGTTGAAAGCACAGAACTCAAGTTATTCCCATGTTCTTGGTGTGTCTTGCATTTTTTATCTCTATAATCAAGACTTCCAGATTATTTTATGTGCACATAAGATAGTTATGTGAACAACTATCTTGGAAATAAAAAGTCAAAGGTGGAATAGCATGAAAAGATTCCCCCCCGGTGGAATAGCATATGGATTCCCCCCCCCCCCCCGGAATAATCCTTCTATATTCTTAATAATCAGTAGGCAAGAATGTCCTTTTTGTTTACAGCCTATCTCTGCAAACCTTGCATGCTTCCCCCCCCCCCCCCCATAGTAAAATTTAAGAGCATTCCTCTGTGGGGAAAAAAAAACTTTTTAGAATTGGGCCATAACTTGACTTAGGAAAAGTAGGCTGAAAACCTTTTGCCTGTTTCTAGAATCCTTATGCCTCTTTTATGGGTTTCTTTTTCTAATGAATTTCCCTACACCTTAGATCAGTGTTAGAAACTTCCATTGTTCTAGGGGCATTTTGCGACAGAGAATTTAATAAGCGCGAGCAGTTTTTGAGCTCTGGGCGCAGTATTGCGCTTAAGATTTCAGGTTAAAACTGCAAAGTGGAAGGAAAAAGGAGACCACCTTCTGCCTCCCCACTTCCAGCTACTGTCTGAAGACTGGAGAATGGACTTTCTGAAGAATATTATGGGGGTGGGCAGGGGAAGGACTAGACCATGTAAAAAATGAACATAATATTTTAGCTGCCGTTCATTCATTTTCAGCTTTGTATTCTATTCTTGTTATTAATCCGTTGTTTGTGCCTGTAACCTAGGTTTAATTTAGCTCCTAGCTTTCATATCCCATTTTCTAACACTGCCTTAGATGGGGCAGTGTTGGAAAGGGGAGGGGGAACTACCTCAAACAACACCTTGGTGTCCAACGAGGCTGCACTGTCTTGCACAGGAGGTTGGCAGAATGAGTATCCAGAACTACATAGCTCTCTTGGAAGTTATAAAGGGGGGTGTTCTTGACATTTTGCCCCTTCAGATAGCTTTGGAAATAAACCCCAAATGCCTTGGCTGAAAGCTGTCGTGGATGAAATAAAGGATTTCAAAGTTGGAAAGTCTTGAGTGCTGTAGGAGTGGTGTTTTCTTTTATGGACATAAAGTACGGGCAGTTCATCCTTTTTGCTGGTAGTCCTTGTTGGTAGGCCCCTAAATGAAAACAAACTCCTGTGTGTATCTTCCTTTCATTGTTCTGACAGTTTCATTGTTCAGTAGGCTAGTCAGAAAGCCATAAAATTCACCTGTGGAGAACTTAGGTCTAAATAGTCTTTCACTTCAATCCTTTTTAAAAAAAAGAAAAATGGAAGCCGGTCATGTGACTTAAAAGATAATAGCTTTTTGTTATGCAATTTGGTTAAAAAACTGCTATATCACTGCATGTGGAGATCCCCTGTGATGTGCATTTGTCTTTAGATTTAGTCACTGTGTGTCTCTTTCAAAGTGTAATGCTTAAAAACAGTGAAACCCAGTGACCTACTTTATGAGCTTTCATATGGTTCTGTAGGTCAGTGGGTCTCTTTGCAGAATGTAGGTCATTTGGAAAGGTGTGCGTTTCTTCCATAACAAGTAGCTTTTGACCTGCCGTTGAATTTACACAGGTTAGATGTGCAGCTTCAGGGTTCTCTCCCCCTCCCCCCATAGAGATATTTTTGACTGTCTGGTCCTGACATGTTACTCTGCTGTATGGCAAATAGTTTGAAATGTAATCGGATGTATTTTAAAAAGGTGACATGTTCTAGACAAACCAAGAGAACCTTTATATGTCTATGTTTTGCTCAATAATAAACAGAAAATATATAGTGTCTGTTATACAATATCCTAAGCAAATGCCCAATGTATCTGAGAAGGGGGAGAGGAGCAATGATTTTTGTATCGTTAGGTTTTCAAACTTCCTGAACAAATAAACATTGAATCAAATTTATTATAATCTTTGAAAAGCAGTTTTCAAGAAAGCATAAAAATGTTAATTCAGTTTAAACAAAACCTGATCGGTAAAACAGCAATAAAAATTAACAATAAAACCTCAGGGCAGTAAAAATATCAATAATCAAGGAATAGATGACCAACTTCTAACGAGATTTAGGAATGCCTGAAAAAAATGTTTTCCTTGGTGCTGAAAAGATGCAGAATGGGCCTCACTAAAAGGGATTTTCCAAAAACAGAGCACCACATCGAAATAAGGTTTCTTCCTTCAAGTCTCATGTCTAATATGTGAAGGAGGGCACCAAAATCTTGGCATATAGGCAGGCTCTTTAGTTCAGCTTCTTGATAAGCTTATTTTGCATTGGAAAAATTATCACCTACCAACCTTTCTAGTGGTTTAAAGAAGTTGAAGAAACATGATCTTGTTTCTTTATGATTATTTGGTGTCTTCATCCTTCATGGATCTGGAATTATACCATGAAGGAAGTCAGGTGAAGAAAGACAGGACATGAATGCAAGCAAGTTTAGTTATCAAATAAAAGCTCCTGTTGAAATTTGCTGCAGTTCTTATTTAACTGGAACCCCCCCCCCCCCGGTATATTTGTGTCCTGTGTTTCTGGGCTAAGTTTCATAAGTTCCTGTATAATATTTTATAAGACCTGGAGAAGTTTAGTCAATAGGCCTTAATTTTGCTTACTACAGTCATAGGTTTCATGTAAGAGACACCAGGACTTAAACTGGAAAACTTAACCTTGGCAGTGTTTGGTAGCTCTATTGCAGGTTAGGTTTGACTCTAGCAAGAGGGTCTGATGTGGTGACTTTTATAATTCGCATGGCTCTGCCGCCAAAGCAAGCAACCCGTCCTTGCTATCACTCTTGCTAGATATAAACTTCAGCAACAGCAGTTTGGAGATCCTTGCCTAAACAGTACAGTAACTTGGCTTCAGGCTGGCACTGTTTCTTGCCTTTTTGCACCAATCTCAGTCCATCTTCTGATTGTGTTTTGGCTTATCTATGCCTGCCTCCCAGGGACGCGGGTGGCGCTGTGGGTTAAACCACAGAGCCTAGGACTTGCTGATCAGAAGGTCGGCAGTTCGAATCCCCGTGACGGGGTGAGCTCCTGTTGTTCGGTCCCTGCTCCTGCCAATCTAGCAGTTTGAAAGCACGTCAAAGTGCAAGTAGATAAATAGGTACCGCTCCGGCGGAAAGGTAAACGGTGTTTCCGTGTGCTGCTCTGGTTCGCCAGAAGCAGCTTAGTCATGCTGGCCACGTGACCTGGAAGCTGTACGCCAGCTCCCTCGGCCAATAAAGCGAGATGAGCGCCGCAACCCCAGAGTCGATCACAACTGGACCTAATGGTCAGGGGTCCCTTTACCTTTTTATGCCTGCCTCCAATTCCTTGTTTCATCCTGCTTTTTGACAGATTCTATATCTATGCTTTCATTTTTTGATTCTTGCTTCCCCTCCCAAATGAACCTATGGCTATTAGTTTTGGTTCACCCCAACAGTCTCCTAATCTGTTGTTAACAGACTGTTTGGCATCTGACTCCTCTAACTGCATGGATCACATCTTGCTCCTCTCCTCAGGTGTTCTAGAACAGCTCAGTTCTCAGGTTTTTGTTGACAAGCATGTAATAGGTTTTAGTAGCATTTAGTGCCATGGATTCAATCTGAGAAATTCAGTGGAATCGACTGATGTTACCTTTTAAAGATATATCTGCACTGTCCCCTCCCAAATACTTTGAGTTGTATTCAGCATAGCGCTAACCATGTACGGTAATTCTGCTTGCACAACAGAGCTTCCCCTCATCCCCTTGCAGGTCTTCTGAATCTGTTCCAGGGACTCCTCCAAGTTATGCTGTTAACTTGGAACATAGTACAGTATAGATTGAATAGTTTGAGTGATAGCCATTGGTGGTTATATCAAGATTTCAGTGAGTAAATGTGATGAAACATTGGATGTCACCCTTTGTGTTGTTCGTTTGAGGGCTGCTTGTAATTCTGTAAAGCTCAGGGGTCCAAAAACTTAGATGCATTGTTCTTAGATTGAATGTACAGTTGTACCTTGGCTCCTGAATGCCTTGGGAGTCGAACGTTCCGGCTCCCAAACGATCGAAAACTGGAAGCGAGTGTTCCTGTTTTCGAACGTTCTTTTGGAAGCCAAACGTCCGGCGGGGCTTCTGCGGCTTCCGATTGGCTGCAGGAGCTTCCTGCAGTCAATCAGAAGCCACACTTTGGTTTCTGAATGTTTTGGAAGTCGAACGGATTCCATTCAGCTTCTGAGGTACAACTGTATATGACTTCTGTGCATGGCTGCCAAAGGTAAGTTTTCTGTTTATTCACTTATTCTGTTTATTCTGCTTATGTTGTTTGACCAGCTGCATTGTGACATTATTAATTTTGAAAGTGCTTGCCTAGCTGAGGACTTTCTCTTCCTAAGATTTCAATAGAAGAGGCAATACATTGATGGACGATGGCCCTGTGATGGAGTCAATCAGCCGGCACAGTCTCTTGTCCCTTGGGCATACTTGTATGGAGTACATCATTAGCTGAAGAAGGGGAGGCTTTCCTCTGTAATGTTAATGCTGTGTATTAGCTCTCTTGTCCCTGTGCTACTATTACAGAGCCATTGCAGCTCCATTGGGGACAGGGAAGGAGAGCAAGTACATAACTTCATCTGGTGTCATGATTATTTTTAGTGTTTTATTTAGCTGTACACCAGCAAACCTTATATAAGTTGCTGTTATCTTCCAGACTCCTAAGCAGAACGGAACAAAGTGAAAAACTTAAATTAATATTAATCAGAGATGTTGCTGTGTGGTAGGCAACATTTGCACGTTTCAGCGTGTTTAAGTGGCATTTTGAGCAATATTTTATTTGTCCAAATGTTGCAGTATAAAATAAAAGTGTAAGCCAAGGAAGAGAAATGTTGCCAGCACACTTGTGTGCATTGAATGTTGTCTTGAGAGGCGAGACTGGCAAGCTATTTGCCTGGAAGGACTTGTTATACATTAATTAAGTTGGCAAGGTGCTAGCTAGCTGCAAGACTCAACTGGGCTGTTTTTTAAGAGTAACCACTGCCTTTTAATTTTTTATACTCAAAATATCTGTTTCAAGACAATGATTTTTTTTTTTTAAAAAAACCTACCTAATTCATTTAAGAGCAAGAGAGTAAAGGTCCTGATTATTTAGAATCAGTTGACAGCTTCATAAGTAAATAGGTTAAAAATTATATGATAACCCCTTCATTGCATAAGATGATAGGTTTTTCTATTATCTAGCTTGCTGTAATGGCTATAGATTAAGGATTCAAATTGACCTGGCATGAATGTATTAAATCAGGTTATCTGCCAAAATGGGTTAACTACCATGTACCCACTACCAGAGTTTGAAATTAGCCAGTTGCCATACATGTTTTGCTACTGGTCTGGTCCAGTTGCACATGGAGGTTTCTGGGCACCAGGTTGGTGACCACAGTTCAAAAATGTCTGCCTTACTCCATAGTTAATAGCATTTCCATTTCCTCTATGTGGGTTTCTCCTTCCTGCATACTGGGACATGTGAATTGTTGTAAGAGCAAGCTACAGTTAGCCAATGTAGTTAAGATCATAGAATTGTAGCTTTGAAATTGGAGCTCCTGAGGGTCATTTAGTCCAAGCCCTTGAATTCCATTGTGGCAACCTAGAACCAAGGAGCCATTTGGTGCCTAGCATATACACCTGAGTTTCTAATACTGCACACAACAAAATTTCAGTATACCTTCCAGGTGTGTGTAGACAGCAACAGAATAAACCAGTTTGGTGAGTGGTAACAGCAAGGAAGTTTGGTGGATAGGAATTCAGTCATTCACTTAATGAGGAAACAGTTGCTTGAGAACAAATGCTGCTTAGCCCGTAGCTGTTTGGTTGTGGATGAACTTGCCAGACCAGGCTGATGACAGCTTTGGCATTTATCCTGAGGAAAAGTTGGTTTCAGATAATACATGCCAAGTTTTCCCTCTTTTTTTAAATTTAGAACCTGGGTTTCTAAAAAGCAAAACATTTAAAAATACATTAATCTAAAGCAGCTGTTGTGAATCTGCGACCTTCTGGTCACAGTTGGGACTACAGCACTCATAATCCCTGATGACTGAACATGCTGACTAGGGATGTGGGGAGCTGGAACCCAACATTTGGAGGGCCATGGAGTCTCGCATCCCAGATAAAGAATGATTTTTACTGTTCTGAACTATTTTTTGAAATGCAACCCAAATACCGAGGCATTTTAAAACGTAGTATTAAGTCACACAACAAATAGTAATCTTTATGATGGTTTTGCTTGCTGCTCTCTGAAGTGTGAAGGAGCTCACTTTTAAATTTGCCTCACTGTTGCATGGCCCACCCACCTGTATTATCCATTTAAAGCAGTATCATAGCACTTTAAACAGTCATGGCTTCCCACAAAGAATCCTGGGAACCGCAGAGCATGCATGGAGGGTGCTGAGAGTTGTTAGGAGACACACACAGCAACTATTTTCAGGGTTCCCTGGTAAAATGGAATGACCACCAAATCAGTGTTAGAAATTAGCCAGGCTCATTTTGCTACTAGCGCAGGTCCAGTTGCGACCACGTGGAGATCTCTGGATGCTAGGTTGGCAACCAACATCTCCATCTGGCTGGCTTGCATTTCTATCCCACCTTTTTTCCAAAGAGTACATGGAGTTCACCCCCCTCCTCAGTTAATCCCTACAAGCGACCCTGTGAGATAAGTTAAGAGGCTGCGACTGGCCCAAGGTCACCCAGTGGGCTTCATGAAGGAGTGGTGGTTTGAACCGTGATCTCCCAGGCCCTACCTAGTCCGACACTCTAACCACTACACCACACTGGCTTCTTAGAGTACTACTTCTGCGAAGCAGCTGTATAAATTAAGTAGGTAAATAAATGGGGGGAAAGCAAAATATCACTTAGAGAAGGATCTGAAATATTTTCCTTGCAGCTTGAATTTGCTTTATTCTGGATTGTTTTATTTGATGTTTTAATGTGTTGTATACCACTTTGAGATTTCTTCCTTTAAACTATAAAACAGTATAGAAAGGAAATTAATAATAATAATACAGTCGTACCTTGGATCCCGAGCACCTTGCAAGTCGAACGTTTTGGCTCCTGAACGTTGCAAACCTGGAAGTGAGTGATCCGGTTTGTGAACACTCTTTGGAACCCAAATGTCCAACGGGGCTTCCGCTGCTTCTGACTGGCTGCAGGAGCTTCCCACAGCCAATTGGAAGCTGCACCTTGGTTTCGGAACGTTTTGGAAGTCGAACGGACTTCTGGAACAGATTCCATTCAACTTCTGAAGTACCACTGTAGTAATAAATTCCAATGCAAAAAGGCGCTTGAATATTTGATTGTAGTGCTCGTAACCTAGGTTTAAGGTGGCATTTGGTGATTGGCTTATGCAGTATATCTGAGTTTTTAACACTGCCTTAAACCTCCCTGGTTTAATGTACCTCTGTGGCAGGAACATGAGTCTCCTGTTGAAACTGTACCCAGACAAAATGGAGGGGCTGCAGTTGTGTGGTTATTGCAGGTGGGATTTGGGAAGTCATCCTATTCCAGAAGAGGTTGCACTACACTTGTAGAAGCAGGTTCATAACTTCAGAATACTTCTGGAGTCACTCAGTAGAACCCCGTGTCTTCAGTTTATGGGAGAGCTTATTCCCAACACTGGCTAGTTCACCATCGGCGGGGGCGGGGGGGAGCCATTTTGGCTCCTTGGGGTAGATTGCCTTTTGAGTACAGTCTGGAGGCTGCAATTAGTTCAAATTGTGGCTAGGGTGCTTATATATACTGCTTATATCCATCTGAAAGAATTGCACAGGTTACCTATTACCCTCCAGCCTCAATTCAAGGTGCTTATAGTGATAGATAAAGCCCTTAGGCTCCAAATATCTGAAAGAATGCTTCTTCCTGAACAACTTGCCCATGCACTAAGATCTGCCGAAGGGACCCTTTTTGTGGTTGTCCCACTGTAATGGGGGGGGGGGTGTCTGTGAGAGGGTCTTCTCTGCTATGGCACCAGGCCTGACCTCCCTTCAGATGCGTGACATGCTTTATCCTTAAAGTGGTTAAGTACTCAGGTTAAGTACTTAATTCATTCCGGAGGTCCGTACTTAACCTGAAACTGTTCTTAACCTGAAGCACCACTTTAGCTAATGGGGCTTCCTGCTGCCACCGCATCCTGAAGCAAAGTTCTTAACCTGAAGCACTATTTCTGGGTTAGCGGAGTCTGTAACCTGAAGCGTATGTAACCTGAGATACCACTGTACTTTCATTTCAAAATATGAGACACTTGTGTTGTGTCCTGCTACCAAGTTAACTTCATTGACAGCAAATATGTGTATTCATATGCTCTTAGTTTTGAATATTGTTAAACAGTTGTTTTGAATATTTTGGTATTTCCTTCCCTGGGAACTCTGAGGGAAAATGGTTTATAAATATCATTTTTTAAAAAAATATGAGTGACTGATAATCCCATTTTTATATGTAGGAAGTGGGACTTGAGACAGTGACTTGTTCAGAGCTATGCAGTGAGTCCTTTGAAGAGGTGGGACCTGAATATCTCTCTCTCACTTTATTTTGTGCTACTTTCATAATTAGTGTATGATGCTTTTAATTTTTCTTGAAAATACTAAGGTCCCAAACTAGGGCTAATTAGCTTTTCCTTTTGGGAAAAGATAATTAATGACTCTAGCTGTGATAACCAGTTCTGCCTCCATTGTTGTTATCGATATACCTCCAGAAATAAGTTGCTGGGAATCACAAGTGGGGAAAGTGCTGTTGCACTCGGGTTCTGCTTGTGAAATTATTGTTATCTTCATTGTTTTCATTTAAATTCGTATACTGCCATTCATCTGAGGATTGCAGGGTGAGTTACCAATATAAAAACACAAAAATACATAACATAGTAACAAACAGAAACACACACACCCCAGTTTAAAAGGCTATTGGTTGTTTAATTAGCCAAAGGCCTGGGAGAAGAGGAATGTTTTTGCCTGGCGCCTAAAAGTATGTAACAAAGGAGCTAGGTGAGCCTCCCTGGGGAGAGCATTCCACAATGGGAAGCCACCACAGAAAAGGCCCATTCTCATGTTGCTGTCTTCTGGGCCTCTTGCAGAGGAGGCACATGAAGAAGGCTCTCAAATTATCATTGCAGGGTCTGGGTCGTATGGAAAGAGGAGGTCCTTGAAGTAATTGGCAGCCGGTGCCAGAACTGGCATTATATGTGCAAACCATCTTGCACCGGTGAGCAACCTGGCCGCTGAATTCTTCACCTGCTGAAGTTTCTTGAGAGGCAGCCCCACATATATAGTACACAGCAGTAATTTAACCTAGAGGTGGCCAGAGCTTAGGTGACAGTGATAACTTATCCCATTCCCATAGGCACTTGTTTGGCCACTGTGAGAACAGGATGCTGGACTAGATGGGCCTTTGGCCTGATCCTGTAGGGTTCCTCTTGCGTTCTTAATATAAAGCAAGGGTGGTGAACCTCCATTTTGGCCTGCCAGGAGGTGCAGTCTAGCCTGTGATGAAATTTTCCTAAACCCTGCTCACCTGTCCCATCAGCTGTTGTCAGCACAATGGATAAGTGCTATTAGCTGATGGGTAGGGTTAATTTTTTTCTTGGCTGTGCCCTCGCTATGGGGAACTGGTACATGCATCCAAAGTAGCAGAATTTAACTCAGCGGTTCAATCCAGCTCAGTGCTGCTTTGTCAGTTACCATTATTACCCCCTTCCCCACACTTCAAATTTCACAGGTGGGTGGGATTCCCTGCACACCTATCAGTGTCACAATGTTATGATGCCCAAAGGTTGACAGGTGAGTGGCCCTGCCCGTGTATCAGAGTAGGCCTGTGCAGAAGGGGGAGTGTCGTGCCAATGCAATGATGCTTCCTTCATTTCTGCAGCCAGCGGGAGGCTGCTTAGCCGGTGGAGTTGAGTGGAAGGAGACCTCTGCTCAAACAAACACCCCTCTCCAGTGCAGGGTTTTTTTTTTAATTGCTCCGTTAGCTTTATTAATTTTTCATTTTATAAAATGTATATTCAGTGCCAATTGGCGTTCATGGGGTAGCTAAAAATATATACAAGGAGGTGGTAAGCGTATCGCTTCAAGCAATTATTTAAATATTTATTTTGGCACAAACCTTTAGCACATCTGCATTCATTGTCTGTGGAAACTTCTTAAAAGTATTAGGACAATTGTTCTGTGAGAAACGATGCAGTCAGCTGGTGTTGATTTATATTATAATTGCTACTCAAGTCTAACAGTTGAGTGGTAGAGAAACTTACAGTGACAGATTGTGGCATAGCGTAGTTCATTGGTCCCCTTCCCCCAGCAAATGCTGGAGAAAATCATGCACAGAATTACTGTTCTTCATGTGGTTGGTTCTCCGAGTTGCAGCCAAGTCACTGTTGCAGTTGTGATGCATTCTGTAACCATTATGTCAGGATAGGTGTAGGGTTGTCAGTTCTTGTCAAAAGCCTCTGTTCTTGTTACATGATAGGAAAACATCATGTCATGTCATATAGTGTGATGTGAAACAATCGTGTCACAGTATGACACCTTCTATAGCTAATCTATTATAGTACAATATCGGCTAAAGCTCTTGACATCAATTTCTTCAAAGGAGATTTCTAAATACTTCAAAGGAGATTTCTAAATATTTTCTCATGAGGTGCAAGCTCCACCCCCCCCCTCAATACCCGTGAAACCCTCTTTTTTGTTTACTTTAGAGAGTGCAAGAGGGTTTCCTATGTCACACTGCACTTTTTGTGCAGGCTTCCTGGCTCATTCTGCTTTTCTCTCCTCCCACCCATTCAAAGAGGGGAATTTCATATTGAACTAGACTTTGAAGCAGGCATGTTCTTGCTTCAAAGTTCAGAGTGACAGGACACACACACTACTAGGTATGCACAAAGGACTAGGGGAAGAGGGGAAGGAAGGTCTTAACAGCAACCACAAAACTGTTATTAGCTAGTAAGCCAAGCCAAATTTTTGTGGACCACTCTGCAAATAGTGGTAGAAAGTTAAACGTGTGCTATTCACACAGATAAGTTGGATGTCTTAAGAATCCTTTTCAAAATAGCTCCCAAGTATGTATGCAGATCTTTTACTGGATAATATAAGGTCATGATACTTATTACTATATAATTTACAATTCTAAAAAATAAAAATAAAATTTATGTTAATTACATGCTTTTTAGCTTTTGGGCTGGCTACAAAAAGATAATAAACAGTATTGACCACTGCTATCATGCTTTGTAAGACTAAATATGGCATTGCATCTAAAAACATTGCTTAATGTGTCTGATAGGGTTTTAATATCTACTTTAATCAATGAGACTATGATAATTTTCAAAATTGAATTTGTTTTATTATATTTCTGCATTTTTAAAAAAAATTTATTGATACAGCAAGAAAAAAGAAAAAAACACAAATACCAAATTACACACAGTAATAACCATAGACACATCATTTTCTTAACAAACAATAAAACATATATTGGTCTTAACACTAAAGACCCAACCTCCTGTCTATTCCATATTTTGATTTCATATTACTTATTGCCAATACACACTTTTATCATAATTAAACTTTTTCTTAATATATCTAATTTCTTATATCTACCTTGCAACTATTATTGAAGTTTCTCGAATGCTGCAACAGAATTCTGTATCTTTAAAATTGAAGCCTTATACATGGTGTCTAACAGAGTCTACATTCTGTAAAGTTCAAATCAATGACCTTGCAATTTTGTTTATATTAATCAATATGCAAGCAGTTGGAGCTAAGACTTCAGTCAGTTGCATTAATATAATGCGTAATTTTTTCTGATGTGTAATTTACAAATTTCTCTAGGATTTTGATCTGAACATTTGTTACTGTTAGAAGGCTTGATTACTCAAAATGCTGAAAAGCCAACAAGTACCGGTATTCTATAGAACTGAATAAAATCATTTTGAATCTTGAACTATGAGCTATTGCACCATCACTTAGCTTAATTCCAGAGAGAACCATGCTATTTTTAGCCTGCTTATGTCTGTAGGCTAAAATCCTACCAGCTTTCTCTTCTGGCTCCTAGTAATTTTGAACATGAAGTAAATTACTGTCATACTCCCCCCTCCCCCAAAGGTCAGTCTCTGTGGTACAATCTAAACAACAACTACTGGGATGCCCTTGCAGCTTCTTCTCTGCTGAGCTTGTTTGATTCTACCTTCGGGTGAGATATATAGGCAGTAATGTGCCATGAACAAGCAAGAGGCAAGGCCCAGCTGATGAAGTGTTTCTGCCCCACTGACAAAGAGTCAAGGTAACAAGGAATGGAGTGAGTTCAGTGTGATGCCAGGGCAAACTGCTTTGCCCCTCCCTTTAGTTATTTTGGACCTTGGAATTTGTTAGGTCACCACTTCAATAAACTACAGAGATGCATGGAGCAAGCTAGAAGGGGTGTGGGCACTATTCAGTGTACTTCCTGGAATGTCACTCGTACAGTTATCTACCAGTCGGACAGAAGTTGTGAGTGTGTGTTCATGGCATTGAGCTCCTGGAACAAGGAAGAAGACCTTAGGCTCATAGTGGATAGCTTAATGAAGATGTTGACCCAGTGTGTGATAGCTGTAAAAAAGATGAATTTCATGTTAGGGAACCTTAAGGGTTGGATTGAAAACAACTGCCAATATCATAATGCCATTATGCATATTGAGTGTGATTCCGTGTTTGGAATACTGTATACAGTTCTGGTCACCTCCCTGCGAAAAGGGCATTGTAGAGCTGGGGGAAATTCAGAAATGGGAAACCACAAATGATCAAGGGATTTGAGCAACTCCCCTTTGAAGGAAAGGTTACAGCTAGTTTATAAAGCCCCAAACTTTAATAAATGATAGTCTGTTTGGTTTTTGATACCTGAACAGTAGGAATACACTGAAGATTTAGAAAGCCTTAGATTTAGACATCTGGTTGGCCACTGTGAGTACAGGATGCTGGACTGAAAGGGCCTTTGGCCTGGTCCGGCAAGGTTTCTCTTGGGTTCTTATCGCTGCAAGAAGACATTTTATGCGTGACCTGAATGGAAGAAACAGCTGGTTGATCTTTATTTATTTGTTGTATAGCAAAGTATGGCCTAGATTTTGTTTATCATGAAAACTTCTGCTTTACCTTCCTTTCTTTACAAACAATGAAAACATAATGAGTAATGTGGTATTAAAGCAGTCGTGCCAATAAGTCCGCACAGGCTACACCCTTACCTGGGAGTGAGTTTCATTAAACTCAGGGGAACTTAACTTCTTAGTAAACATGGATTGTTCTGCACATAATATTTATGATCACCCCAAAATATTTATTAGTTCATCATTTGTGGTCTGCTATAAAATACTGTATTCTTTTGTAGAACTTGCTTGCCTGCCTGCTTAAAGGCAATTCTCAGCTCACTTCAGGCAAGTGGCTATTTTTCATAATGAGCTCCAAAAAACTTGGTGTTTGTGCAAAACTAACAGTTGTGCAAATCTAACAATACTTAATCAGCAAGTGCATTTGTATCCATAGTAGGAAATATAGAGGTGTTAGGATCTAGAAATTCCTCTTTTGTTCATACCTTTTGGCAGAATCAAGTTGTTTAATAGATTACAGTAGAACCTCGACTTACCACCGCCCCTGCTCGTGAACAATCTGACTCATGACCGCAGCAAACCTGGAAGTAAATACCAGGTTTGCCGCAATTTGAGCACGCACAGAAGAGGCTTCTGCTGACTGCACATGCGCAGAATGGTGCTGCTGCCGAATGCGCATGCGCAGAATGGCGCTTTTCCTAGCGACCCGGATAGGCTCACGAACGGACCTCCGGAACAGATTCCGTATGTGAGGAGAGGTTCCACTGTATTCTATATTCTGTATATGTGTGAAATGCACATAGCGTTTCTTTCAGGCTGATGTGTACAATACCACTTGAATGGAGAAGCCTGTTTAGCATTTTAACTCTCCGGAACAGAGTTCAACAATTTTTGGTTGTGGTTGCTTCCCCTAAAAAAAGGTCAACAAGTTCTGGCAAAAGGGAAGCAAAAAATAACTTTAGAATTAGAAGTTTATCTTGCATACATGCTATCATTTTTTTGGAAGAAAATATTAATACTTAAATATAAATTGTTTTCCTGTGAACTTGTAATACACAGAGTGAAGTTACAGTTAACCTAGATATATTTGTACAAATTTAAATTTAGACTGCTTATAAGGACTCGTAATGTTTTAGCCTGCTGAAATAAAATGGGATCAAACAGCTTTCATTTATTTACTTAAGTTATGATTTTGCAGGAGACTGGGAAAAATATTTTGTTTCTCATTGTGTTTTGTGCTAAAGCCACTTTTTAAAAATTCTAACTTGCCCTTCTGACCACCCCCCCCCAAAAGTGCACAGCATGGTTTGCAAGTAACTTTTAAAATTGTGTTTCCTCATACCATCATTGCAATAATAATGTTTCAGCCTCAGTTAAGTGTCCCATAAACAGAATTTTAACAGGACATCAGAAGCCAAGGAGAGCACCCTTCTTATAGGCTGTCTTGGATGGAGAGCAAGGTCTGATGCTGCTGCACTATTGGTGAACCTTTGAGTGAACATGCTTAGGACATGCTTAGAACATGCTTAGCTGCACCAGTCTTTAATTTTAATAGCCAGCTGGATCTGCTTTTTATTTTATTGGTCCAATTTTTTTCTATTAAAAAACCCAAAAATATTGTCGCCCCAAATGCTGTCCAACCCACACCTCTGGTCTGTATGGGCTTGCCCATGTGGGCCATTGTTTCCGTTCCTCCTGGTTTGTTGAACTGTAGCATGGCTAATTTGGCTGTAAGTTAGAGGGGAGGCATGGGTCAGTGGTAGAGCATGTGCGTTGCATGCAGAAGACCCCAAATTCAGTAACTGGGATCTCCTATTCAAATGATCAGGTATTAGGTCAGGCACCCTCAAACTCGGCCCTCCAGATGTTTTGGGACTACAACTCCCATGATCCCTAGCTAACAGGACCAGCGGTCAGGGATGATGGGAAGTGTAGTCCCAAAACATCTGGAGGGCCGAGTTTGCCTGTGCCTATACTAGGTGTTAGAAAAGATCTGCTGCTTGTGATTTGGGAAAGCCAGTCAGAGTAGACCATGAGCTATGCTTACCAGATTATAATTTGTGATTTTCCTGTTTCAGAAAAGTCTACTAAAGTAACCATTGATAGTTTTATCATTTCTGTATTCTCTAGTTAAATGCTGTATCCATTCTTTGTATATAAATAAAAACTTTAAAAAAGCGCAAAGCATATAAAAAAAGTCCTATGAGTAGGAAAATTAGAGTATAAGAGGGACTTCAGTTCTTTTGCATTCTTTTTAACCTGCCTTTTGCAAATAGTAAGAAATCACATTCTTCCTGACTTTTCATCTGTTGCATAACACAGGAGGGGAAATTCATGTTTACTCACATTTTTTAAAAAACCAAACAAACTAATTTTAACGGAACTTACAAAAACTGCAAGTTTTGTAAGCCTGGAGCTCTTGCTAAGATGGCAACTTTTAGTTACGCTTCCCATCAAGGCTCTCCAGATGACATATTTAGGCTGACAATTCCACACGTGTTGTGGGTCAGGCACACTGCCAAGTGCTTAGCACTTAGCCAGCAGGAGAGGAAAAAATAGGAATCCCAATAATCCACACATCAGCCTGTGTTATATTCCTTGGTCAGTGGAGAGGCAGAGCAAGTGAACTGCGGAGAGATTGTGGGTATTAAGTGGGTTGGATAATGAAAGGCTACACTGGCATTGATGTGAGAGTCTTTAAATAGAAAATGTCTATAACTGATGGTGCCAGGATGGTTGGCATGAATTTACAGTTGGCACAGCCTCACAGCAGAACGAGTTCTTAGCGAGAACTCCTCAACTTGGTTTCTAACATTCATATTGTTAGAACGGAAGAGTTCCTCTGGTATGGTTTTCCATTAGGTTTTTACATATACTGTACAGTACCTTGTTGAAAAAGGTTTTCAAAAAGTGCTAATGTAACAGAAATAAAGCATCTTATGTGCTAAGCTGTTCTACAGATTCATAATTAGAGGACAGAAACTGAGAAGTTCCAGATGATATATTCAATTAAGTTCATGTTGTGTTAATGGCTTTTTGTGCTCACTTGAGCTCCAGAATGCTGGGAGATTTGCAACTGTTAAGTGCCCATGCCCCTAATAGATGTATTATTTAGGCAGTATGTGTAAGATATGGTATCTTATGTTGAAGTTAGTTCAGTCTTCACCGTTACCTCAAGAGATTGATGGATGTCCCTGGCAGAAGGGTAAATTGGTCTGTCTACTGGAATAGACATGGAGTCTATGCAACTGAAACTACCATTCTGCATGACCAGTGCCCAAATGGCAATCAAACACTGACACAAAATAA